AAACGCTTACTGATAACCTTAAAAACTTCTCTTCATGATATATAACATTCTCATCTCTACTTCCCCGTTCCTGGTTTTGCGCAACTGCGTTGCGCAGCTACTTATGGTAAAATCCTACAATCGGTCGTAACTAATTGCCTAAAATAGGAATTTAAACTAACTGAAAAGAGAAAAAAAATTTTAAGCGTAACACTGTATTACATCTTAGCAACTAAAATAGAATACAGGAATACGTAAAAGATCAACTAATGGATATTCGGATTATAGAATCCGTATCAAAGCATATTTTGATTTCTTGAGTTTATTGAAATATCCAGAAATGTTAATGATAGTTTTACGTATAAATCGCTTTTTAAATATAGGCAATGTTATATGAGTGCTATCAATAGAAAACCTGTCATCGGGCTTTCAATGTTCAGTTGGCTTTCTGCATTTTCTGCATGCAATCTATGGCGATCTATTCCGATGATATATTGTCCATAGACAGCATGCAGAAAGCCAACTGAACATTGAAAGCCCGATGACAGGTTTTCTAATGACAGCACTCATATGATTTACATAGCGGCTTATGTATGAAATACCCCAAAGTTTGAAAATTTTGACCACTAATATGTAAATACTGATCAATATTCCCAGGTTAAGGTGCAACGTTATAATAAATTTTATATATCTAATGAAATACGTCATGATGGGGAAGATAGGTTAGCGCGTTATAAATCTAGATCAGAGGTTCAAAAAATTTATTCGAGTTTGGTATTGATTTATTAATATGTAATTTGGTAACTAAAGTTTAATTTAGGGACAAAATACTCGAATTTGTGACCTAAATTTCATAATTCGCCGTGATGACAAATTTATGAAGTGTTCCTAAATATGACATTTGATAAAAAGCTTTATCACATTATATATTGGATGCTAAAACTCAAACATCATATCGATATATCTAATTTGTTAAAATAGCGTTGACATTTTTGAACGCTTCAATTAATCTTAATGGTTTAAAATCATTTTTGAATTCTATTGGTTTGTAGAATTTTAAAATAGTTTTTCGATTATTGCGTTTTGCAAAAAGGTGTGACCTCGTGATATTCGTGTTAATGATAGCAGGAAATTTTGAGATTCTAAATTTTCTGTAGAATAGATTTTCAATTAAAAACATACATACCTGTATGATAATATACTGTATAAGTATTGTATTATGATAATACATATTACTGAATCAATGCGATTAATTAATACAAATCGTTCTTGTTATAGTGAACTCTTGTTAGGCCCCTTTCAGCGGTTCATACTCTTTTCATTGGTATATCTATATTTATCCTAATGTAGTATTTGGATTCGTAAAAAAAATATCGATATTACAATACCATGCTGCTGAAAAAAAGTCTAAACTGCTGAAAGGGCCTTATAGTGAGCCACTCGTTATAGTAATGACTAGTTTATATAAAGCCCTTTCAACATAGTGAGTTACTAATAGACTCTCGTTATAGTGAAGAAAATCTCTCAGCCCCGATCACTTCACTATAACGAGAGTAACTTATATCGGTATTATGTAATGGTACATTGATTAATATCTTTTCAATACATTTATGGCGTTATAAATGTTATATTCATCCACTTTATGAGACTAACCTAAATAGCTTATTTTAAACTAAATATAATCAATTTCATTGTTTTATTGTGGAAATTTGTGTGATCTGCAGTATTTTTAATCAGCAGTCAATACATTTTCATGTGCAGGTTGCGTAGTAATTTACTACGTATACTGCGTATATTCCATCCCATAAACAAGCATTTGATATAAAAACCACATATTATCACCACTTTCCACAATTCTTACTTACCGTAAAAAAATTGATTTTTCTTCTTATTAAACATTAATTTGAAAATGCAAAACAGTGATATAGTCGAAATCAAAGATACCTCCAATGAGTACTGGAAGTGGCCGTGCTTCGAAGAATGGTTTAGTCGAGAAAAACATAGGATGGAACGAAAAGAGAAAGATAAAGTAGTCAAACAAAGTGCTCCTTTTCAGGTAGTTTATTCTGTTGAAAGAGATTCCATTCCCAGGACGTTTGTCGAGTTGAGTTTCCAGCCGTTGATTATGATCCTACAAAAGATTATTCCTGGCAACAGCGCTATTTTTGACAAAGAACCCCAAATTAATGCTCAAGTTTTGTATCATGTAATGGAAAAATTGCGCACTGAAAATGCTGGTATATAATTAAATACTTCTAGTCACGTTAATGTAAAGAAACTAATTTTATAATTTAATTTTAGAATTAGAAAAAGCATCTAATCTGACAGATGAGAAGAAATACATGAATAGTTTAATCAAATTTCTTGAACAGGAGTACGAACAGACGAACATTTTACGAGCAAGGATGATCAATAATAATGTCGTTTCGTTCGATATGTTATGGGTATTTTTCACTCCAAACTTGCCAGTATTTTAGTAAGTATTTTTTACAATTTTCAATTTCAATTTTAGGATTAAGTATTTTAAATTTATAATAAACACGCAGCCTAATCCATGAATATAGTATAAACATTTTCAAAAGCTTATTATAATGAAACCTTTCTAAATGCATAACCTCTCTAAATACACTTTCTTTATTGTTCTCTAAATACATGTTGTAAAGTTTAGTCACTATAAGATGTATTTAGTGAGGTCTGATGTATACGTATAAAATTTATGATATATGTCTTTTACACATAGTTACTTATAAATTTACTATTTTAATAGTACGTGTAAAATGACTGGTCAGTGGCTCTGCGGCACCATTTCTTCGACATCAGTAACGTTCGATCTCTTCAAACAACAAAAGGTGTTTTTAATAAACATTAAAGTGATTGATTATGACGGCATCGGATTTAAGCGTTGTAATATATATCGTAAAATAGGTTACTTTGAAGGAGAGGTGAACTTCTCTTCTTTGCCCGTTATGCCATCCCAATTCTGTAAAGTTCGAAACAGACTTACAGAAATTATTACTGAAAATGGAAAAAAATTTTTTGAACTTGCTTCAGGAAGGCACTTCAAAAACTATAACGGTTCGTTATTGCGTTGGAAGAAAGTGGGTAATTGCATGGAAGTAGAGAAGATGAATTCTGATGGTCGTGTCATGATTGATTTACAAAGTTTTGCAGTAATGAACCCTGATTATCCTATGGAAAATGCTTTACCTCCAAACAAATGTGATATTGAGTTGCTAGCCAATAATCGCGTTTACCTCGAAAAGGAAAAAATTAATCAAGTAGATTATCTTCATGCGCCTGCATTAGTCTATGGATTTAGCTTTGCATTAAAAGAATGGGGACAGTTTGAGGTTTCAAAATTTACGGATGTTCAATTTGACAAGGAAGCTTTGGACCATCTAGTGATACCCCAAAATAAAAAAGAAATAATCAAAGGGTTAGTGAAACAGTACGTTGACCCCAACAAACCGACTGAGGGTAATGGACTTGATCCCATACGCAAGAAAGGTAATGGTTGCATCTTTCTATGCTATGGGCCACCTGGTACTGGGAAAACGTTAACAGCCGAGAGCGTAGCCGAATTTTTAGAACGGCCATTATGGATGCTCAGTGTACATGAACTTGGAACGGAACCTAAAGAGTAAGCAATATTTTTGAACATATTATAAAATATTTGTCTGTTTGTAATTTTCACAAAAATATTGTAATATTGTAAATAGCTTAGAACGACAATTAGTTAAGATTCTAGATATCGCTTATGCATGGAAGTCTGTCCTTTTACTCGACGAAGCTGATATTTATCTCGAAAAACGTAACACAATCGACATAAAACGTAATATGATGGTTGGTATATTTTTACGTCTATTAGAATACTATCAAGGTATGAAAGGTTCTTTTTTCACTATTTTTTATGCGTAAAATGAAATTTCGAATTAGACTACTTTTGTTTTGTTTTTGTTTTTTTATCATTTTCAGGAGTTCTCTTTTTGACAACAAACCGTGTTGTAAATTTTGATGACGCGATCTGCTCACGAATTAGTGTGTTTCTCCATTACCCAAAACTCGGTCTAAGTGAAAGACATAGTGTGTGGACAAATTTTATCAAACGCGCTGGCTTGCCTCTCAAAGCAGATGATTTTATTAAATATGAATTGAATGGCCGTGAAATTCGTAATGTTATTAACATTGTACGAACATTGGCCCAGGATAGTGGTGAAGACTTGGTTGCAGATCTTGTAATTAATATTATTAAGACAGTCCAAGGATTTCAGAACGAGACAGATGAACGTAAAAAAATAATGAATGAAAATGATGTGTCCTTACAAACAAACTAATTTACTTTACTTTTGAAAATTTAGCATGTAGTTACTTTTACATCGATTGTCATTTATTTATAAATAAAGTTGACATTTATCTTTAGTTGATGATCGTATAACTGTAATTCGCGAACTTGAATATTTTAATTTAAATAGTATACCTATAAATAATCTTTATACCAGTGTTGGAAATTCAAAAAAAATTTAATGATTTTTGTGAACATAATTTTTTTTTATAATGTTCACATAAAAATAAATATGTTCACAAATATGATTTATAATAATTAATATATATAATTAAAAACTCTTAAAATTACAAGTATTTTATTAATATTAGTTATGCTATATTTAATCATGCATCTGATAAGGGCCAGCAGCACTTTATTACACTTGTATTAGCATAAATACATCTTTATATTAATAAATTATAAACAAGAAATAATAAAACTTTAAATTTATATTCGCACTATGTAAACATAAAATATAAAATTTTTGATTTCTTATTTTCACACTATGTGAACATAAAAAATAAAAATTTTGATTTTTTTAAAAAATTTATGTTCACTGTGAACACCGTGAACATATGATTTCCAACACTGCCCTATACCCGTCTTAAGGTGCAACATAATATATAGTACTGTATCAGTTTTAAGAGGTTATCGGATTTGAAAACATAGTAAACTAATAGATTTATATAACGGGAACGGACTTGGTAGATTAATTTTTCATCAGATTTGACAGGATCGGTTTTGTGAGGGTAGGGTCAACTGTATATGTATACAGTACACCTCGAATATTTTATTTTTAATAAATACATCAGTTAACAAACTATCTTTATACAGTCAGACCTCTATATAATCACCAGGTTATGAAACAAAATTTTGGTGATTATAAAAGCTGTGACTATATAAAGGTCAAAATCTATATGCTTTGTAATAGCTAGATCAAAAATAGTGTTATTATAACAAGGTTGTGACCATATTGAGAGTGACTACTGACTGTATTCACTAACAAGTCGCACTAGTACTAAGATTTTTTAAGTCGTAATCTCAAATACCATTGGCTTGCTGACAGCTGCATTTAATAACTTTGCATTAACTTCAAGTATATTGATTGATTTACTAGTGTTAATGCGACCTGGGTGCTTGTTTAGTAATTTTTCGACTATTTTGTCACCTTTTAAAAATTGTTTTTTAATTTTATTTTTAGTGCTCTTACTTGAAAGCTCTTCGATCCAAGTGGTAACTAGTGCGCTAATGTATTTGGCGGTGGGTCTTTCTTCTGGATCAGAATCCATACATCGTTTGGCTAATTTAGCATAGCACTTTGGAGTTCCAGGGGCACATTTTGGGCGTAACCCGTTGCAAATTTTTATAGCAAGCTCCTCATTGTAATCGTGACCATCAAAAGGCCTTCGTCCGGTTGATATCTCCACCATAATTACTCCAAAGCTATAAATGTCTGCAGCTTGTGTAAATTTTTTATTTGAAAGCACTTCTGGAGCAATGTAAGGTAAGATACCAATGATTTCTTTTTCACATTTTACAGGCGACGTAAGCCCTAAATCCGCAATATACGCATTATCTATATCATTCTGTAAAATGTTACCACTATGCAAATCTCTATGAACATATCCTTGTGAATGTATTGCTTCAAGATCAGAAGTTATACAATTCAACAACTTTAACTTTTTCTTCCACTCCATTTGTAACACATTGACAAGATTTTTGCTTAAAGATTTCATTCGTGCATATTCTAAAACAAGAATATAATTCCCATTGTTGTTTTTCGATATTCCATAGCATTTTAAAAACGTTGGATTTCGTAATATGCTTTCAATTCTTTAACTACTTGATCATAATCATTTGATTTAGGAATCTTGAGAGCAACAGTAATTTGTATACCTTGACTTATATCATGCCAAATCTGCAATGTATAAAGTTGCGAATCCACCTTCTTCGATTTTTTTGACATTTTGGAATTCATTATAGGGAATCCATGGCAGTTGATATTGATTTTTGATTAGTTTATTTTTAAAATCGTCATCAATGTTAAATTCATTAAGTGCATTCGCATATTTTGCTGTATGAAAAAATATAGATTTAATATATTAAACCAATAACAATTAAAATAAAAATATTGCTTACTAATTATCGGATTTTTCATCCTAATTATTCAAATAATTTATTAAATTCATGCAATCATTAATTTAGTCATTAAATATAAATATTTTACCTTTTCTGATGCCAATAAATTGATTTCTGTAAATCTCTTTCTACCCCAATTCCATTTCGATAGCACTGAGCTGTCATTTTCATTCCAGCAACATAACCCATGTTTGCTGATTTATGATAACTGATGAATGCCTTGTTTTTATTCTTTTCTACTCCAATTCCTTCTTCATAACAATTTCCAACATTGAACGTTCCATCAGCATGATCCATATCCGCAGACTTTTTATAATATTCAAAGGCCTTACATTCGTCCTTCTTGACTCCATTTCCATATCGATAGCAATTTCCAACAGCAAAAATTCCATCAACATGGCCAATGTCAGCAGATTTTTCATAATATTTGAATGCCATGTGTTCGTCCTTTTCAATTCCAATTCCATTTAGATAACAGAAACTAAGTTTAAATGTTCCCCCAGCATGTTTCAAATTTGCAGATTTGTTATAATACTTAAATGCTTCATGAAGGTCTTTTCTGACCCCGTTTCCTTTTTGATAACAGCTACCAGCATAATATGCTCCTTCAGCATGGTTCAAGTCTGCAGATTTTTTATAATATTCAAAAGCCTTATTTTCATAATAGTTAAACGCCTTGAATTCATCCATTTCGACTATAATTCCATATTCATAAAAATAACCAACATTAAATACTCCTTCTGTGTGACCTATTTCTGCTGATTTTTTATAATATTCGAATGCCTTTTTCTCATTTTTTTTAATACCAATTCCTTTGCCATAACAACGCCCAACGTTAAAAGCACCTTCAGCATGACCCATACCGGCTGATTTTTTATAATATTCGAACGCTTTGAATTCATCCATTTCAACTATAATTCCATATTCATAAAAATAACCAACATTAAATGCTCCTTCTGGATGACTTATTTCTGCTGATTTTTTATAATATTCGAATGCCTTTTTTTCATCCTTTTCAACACCAATTCCTTTTTCATAACAACGCCC